ACATGACATTTTAAAGATGACTTTCAGATGCCGTATTTTAGATTGCAAATATATGTGCAAAGTAAGTCTCAGATTCAGGGCGTTGTTGAGACCAAAGGAGGCTGAAGGAGAAAGGTGGTTTGCATCTAGGATCCCAGTCACTTAGGAGACAGAGGTGGGACCCGTAGCATGTGGCAGGTCAGCTAGGCATCTTAGTGAATCCCTTTCTCCAATTATCAACTAAAAAGGACCAGGACAGTGGTTCAATAACACAGTGCTTGCCAGGCATATGTGAGGCCCTGAGTTTGATCTTCAATCTAGCAACCGCCTCTAGAAAACGTAGGCCTTATGGTTTCAACCAATAGTGCAGGGCCTAGGGGGACCGATGCTGACAAACAATGACCCACTGTGATGTGACTGTGACATGCGGACATATTCCTACGGACACAGTTTGAGCTATTTGTGAAGAGGAAATCACAGAGCATTTTGAAAGGCTTGTAGAAAGTTTTATTATTCATTCATCTGTTTAAAAATGAAGCTGGCTAACAGTCTGGACCCATGCAGTGCTCAGGATAAGTGTGGCCCCTCGGAGGGGGACAGAGGCTGCCGTCCATCTTCGTCTCTGGGAGCCCTCCCCATGCTGGCCTGCCGCCGTGACCCGCCCTGTGCTCAGGTGCGTGAGGGCATGGCCGCAGCCACCTGTGCTCCGAAGCCCCTCTGCGGAAGCTCCCCGTGGCTGGCCATTTCTCAATCTTTGGAACTCTTTTTTGCAAACTCCTGTGTCTACGCGGTCCTCTCCACAGGGTCCGTTGGTCCTTGGTCACACTCACATCATGTCATTAAAGAAAAGTACGCTTCGCCTCAGAAGACTCAACGGAAAGGGCAGAAGCTGTGCAGGTAGTCCTCTGTTCCCTAGTCACGTCCTCTCTGCGGATACAGCATGATGGGGGAAAGAATTATATTGCTTCTCAGATTAATGCAGAGCAACAACCTGCATTGAGCAGCTTCATTCACAAATCCTTTCAGCCCACATTAATCTCCCGCGTCCGGAGGAGAGCCGTGGCGCTAAACCCCTGGGGTGAGGAAACACGAATCCAATATCGTTCCTGGTATGGAGAACGAGGCTGACAAATCACAGTCTGAGGACAGACACATCTTTTCACAGCTGCTCAGATGAGCAGGAAGCAAAGGCTCCCCTGCCCACACCCCAGGGCACCTGACTCCAGGCTGAACTTGGATGACTACACACAGCTTAACACGAACCTGTGCGGACGATAGTAACTATTTCCCTTCATCAGAATACTGTTTCATAGGTAAATACATCACAATGGGGGGGGGGCTTCCATGCTACACTTCTGGTAAGAGCAGCAGGCCTGCGGCTGGTTCCTCATACAGTCACGAAGATCCTTGAACTCGTGAACGGGGGAGGCTCACTCAGCCTCCGCAATCTCTGCCTTAATCTCTTTCTCTCTAAATAAGTTCTTTCCGGAAACCCCAGCCAGGTGTCTTCCCCTGCTCCGGCCTCACAAGCGACCTGTAACAAGCTTTCCATCATCTTCCTTGGCCGGTGTGTTGTCCGTTCTCAGATATCTCCCCAAGTAAACATGCCAAGGCAGAAGGCATTCTCTGGTCATCTTCAGTTGGGGCGAGTGTTCCAGAAGGTGTGAGAGAGGATCAAGAGGCTGTGGGTACGCAGCTAAGGAAGGCAAAGGCAGCTGAAGGGTCAGCATAGAAGCCACTGGAGAAAGGTTGGGAAGAAATGCAGTTCAGAGCTCCTCAACTGAAACAGGGCGAGGTAAACTTGGGGGAAGTGATGGCTAGGTGGCTAGGTCAGCAGATGAGCTGGAGTGTGTATTCGGTGCTGTAGACCATGGTGTTCCAGTGTTTTCCAGCAGTGGGCATCTTTCAGAACGTTCTCCAATGTCGCGTGCATTCGGCAGGCCGGGGCCACGGTGGGTCAGGAGCACACACACCCCGCGTGGAGCACTGTCCCCCACTCCTCCACCTCCCCACAACGTGACTTTCACAGTCACTGGCTTGGAACGCTTCCTAAAATCCTGAACTGTAGGGCGTGGTTTTTAACTGACCAACTCCTCAGACACCTAAACCAACATGGCTCCACTTCTTCTTCACATCTTCAGGTTGGAGAAAGTAAGGCCTTCATCAGGACTTGGGACAGGGAGGTCTCCACACTTGGCTTCGCTGCAGTGAGTTAATGCTCTCCACGCCCTGCTCTCGTGTTCATTTCTAGAACGGTCTCACCGAAGGTCACCTCCCTGTACACTGTCGCAGTGCTGTGACGCTTACTTGAATGGGCGGCCATGCCTTGACATCCACAATCTCTAACTAATAAAATAAAAAAAAAACATTTGGATTACCTGTAGATGAGCTCTGTTTAAATGTATTTGAAGCATAGTCGAGATTTATGTATCTGATACAGCTTCTGCTTACCATTCAAGTTAGAGGATGCCTTTTCAGATCTTTCCAATAAGACATCATGGAATGGAATACTTCATTTTATCTTTTCTCTCCATTCATACCAAGAAGAACAGGAGGAAGATATGGCTCAGAGGTCGCTTCATGGTCAACCCTCAGATCATTATAATTAATAAATGAGAAAGCTTAGGCTTTTCCATGATCTCATCATGGTTAAATGCAGCAACAACTTACTATCCTCTGAGTGTGTGTTAAGAGCAGGAACGTGTCACAGTTGGGCAATCAAAGGACAGTTATTGCCAAATTGAGTTCAGAAGAGTTTTATCTGGATTGAAGACCAATCCTAGGTGGTTTCTTGTCCGCTGTGGTTTGGAGTCACCCAATGTGCTCTCACTACCGTGAACAAAGAGAAAGGCCTTGTCTTGCGGAGCAACCAGAAGTGTCCAGTCATTGGATAATAATGGCAGGCTTATTAATAGGTGGTTAGGAGTGTTTGATTTATTATTTTATTCGGTTCAGTTTTGTTGCGCTTTTCTTACCATCAATAACTTGCACGCAACACAAAATGCCAGGTGAGCTCATGGGAAGGTGTGACTGGGATTGTAAAAGAATTTCCTTTTATAAGGGACCTTGTTCGGTTTGACTCCATCCCAAACAAAATGCAACTTATAACCAAAATCGAGCTCTGGGAATTAACCCGTGTCTCCAAATCAACGAAAAGCTTACAGTAAAGCTGGAGAATAGCCAATGTTCGAAAATCTTCAGGTGTGACACTCTTTAAATAAATACTTTCTACATATTCCCATTAGTATCCACCAATGGAGAGTGGTTCTAAGTGGAGAGATACAGACAGACCAAAAGACAGACAGATAGCTCTGTGTGTGTGTGTGTGTGTGTGCGTGCATATTTACATGTTTGAAACCTTTGGATTGTTTTCAAAGTTTATGTTTTTCAAGTTTATTCAGAGCACAAGAGCTTTTTAGTAAATAGTTACACTTCTTAAAAGATGACAGGGCCAAACCTAGTTTACAACCATGTATTTCAGCTACTGTTTGAATCGTCATCATTTATTTCCATACACACTTTACAAATCAATAAACGGTGAGCTTTGCAAACGCTGAGCACAGCAAGATGGTCCAACCCTAAGTCAAACACGCACTATTATGTTCATCAGCTACCTGATTCTGCTAGAATTAGCATTTTTCCAAAATGTACATTTTGTTAAAAGGCATTCACCCTATCCCCTGATGTAAATGTTACCTAGTTAATATCTACGCATTAACAAAACACCAGGACTTTTTTTGCCTTCCAGGGTTACACCTATTTCTGTAGTGAGCTCAGGCGGGGTGAGTTTACTCCTTTGTTTGGAACACGCACTCCCAAAGGGCATCTGCTTCACATGGGAGCCGTGGGTTAACCCTGCGCCATTCCCGGATGAACCGTTGCATGTGCCAAGCGGTCAGGACAATCCTACTGTATGAACAGTCACTCGTGCTCACAATAAAGCTAAGTGTTTTAGAATCCGTTACACACGTTGTCATGATTTCAAGTTTCGCACACAGAAAAATACCCGGTGTTTCTTTTGTCCTGAGGTGACGTTAAAGGATGTGGACGTCTCCCTGCGTCTATACAGCCTGGCTGAACTTGAAGACTGCCTACAGCCTTCCTGAAAGGTGACCTTCAGACCTAGCTGTGTGACCAGCCGGCCAGGCCGCTCCCTTCTTAGAGTGTGCCTTCCCCTCCCTCAGCCCAAGAGCCACCTCTGGAGAAGAGAGGGAAGGTTCTCCAAGACGGCGCTGCTCTCCTTCCACTTACCGGGAATTCACGCTTTGGTCTTGAGGGAGGAGAAGACACACACCACCAAGTGCTCCCAAAGAGAGCGGCAGGTAGGAGCTGCCTGCAACCAACCTCAGCCAGAAGCCCAGTGCGCAGCTGTTCATTTCTGCCTCTCATTTTACCTTGCTGTGCTCACACTTTTCTATTCTCCGAATTACTTTTGGCCTTTCTTGTTCTCCATTTAAGCTGAGGGAATTCAGAGCCATTTCCAAGTGTAATTAGAGCAATCTGCATATAAAAGGCGCTGTGTCCTACCCGGGGTTGAACGGGAAAGCAAATACATTCAAAGAAGAAAATGAGAAGTGATTCCCACGGCTGAAATTCACTCAAGTTAATTCGTGGTACACCTGATGAGAACAGTTTTATTATTATTATTTTAACCAATAGATTTATCCAGAAACTGGTGAGATATTTTTGAGAAAGAGAGAGAGAGAGGAATAAAGGGCTGACAACCGAGGAGGGAAGGAAGCAAAGAAAGGGTCAACGTACATTTCACACAGTGTAGGGAAAACAGCTACATCACACAGAGTAAGATTCAAGTCTTGCTCTTACTGTGAGACAGAGGGGCTCCCCTTGTGTAGCCTACTGTGATTTATCACTGCTAAACAATGCTCCCCACCAGGCCACAGCCTGAGCCATACAGTTTGTGGGTTCAGCTTAGCTGGGGCTCCCGGCTAAGGTTGCTTTATCACGTTGTTGGTTGGGGCGTAGTCATCTGTGAATCTTGGCTTTGGGGCGCACTTCACTGCTCACTCCTGTGGTGGGGGGGTGGTCTCTGTGCCTTTCCACACGGCCTCTCCGCACAGCTGCTTCCACAGTATCTCTGCAAGCAACCCAAGGGGTGGGGGGAGGGATGAGCACGTTAGAAGCTCCTTACATTAGAAACAACAGTCATTTTAACCACCTCAGGTCACTCCCCTCCCTTCTGCCACACCGAGTTTGTAGATGACTTCTTCAGTGACCAGTTTGCTACTGCCTGCCAGCAACTGCAAGATGGCGCCACTGGGATTGTGGGTGCCAGGAGGTGTCTTTATAGGCCGTTATAGAAGATGTTAACCATGTGCGCATGCGCGTGTGCATGCATATGTGTGCACGTGTGTGTGTGTGTGTGTGTGTGTGTGTGTGTGTTCTGTAGGTCTCTTGTTTGTGTGTCATCGTCATTTCTTGGTTTTTTTGTTGGTTGCGGAGATTGAACTCAGGGCCTGGGCACTGTCCCAGTGGAATCATTACGTAAAAACTTTTTTGGTCCTTATTCATCCCATGAAAGCCTTATTTAGCTTCCAGCCTACAGCTTTCCAAATTATACTCTTGTTAGTTTGAGAAAAAGTTACCTCAATCTGTAAATTAAGCTTTTTTTTTTAAGATTGAGTTTTTCTTTCATGAAAAATTAGCATCGGAAGAGCCCGCAAACAAAATGTGTGTAAAATCTGCAGCTCACCGAGTCCTTAGCACACTGGGTCCAAAGCATATGGTTGTCCTAGTTCAGACAGTGGAAGTGTCAGGATGCGCCAATTCTTAATTACCACCTCATTAACACCCAGGTGTCAATTTCTGGTGGCAAAGGCAATACGCAAATGGCCTAGTTTCTGTCATGCACGGTATAATTAAACTGACCTCCAATGCAGAAACTTGCTAGTTGCCTGTTACTATTTAGATACTAATTTTAGGCACTACTTCAAATAGAATAAGGTGGTGAATAACCAACATAGTGAAAGTGCTGCAAAATCTCGTTTTTATAAGCAATTATCATCGTAAAGATAGTTGTGTAGAGAATCACTGAATAGTCTATAAAAAATAACAATGTATGTTACACACTGGATTGCAACGTTATTGAGCTAAACTGTCATTAGATCTCAAGATAAAGATGAGTTTCAGAACAAAAGCAAAAAATAAATTAGTGCAATAGTTCCATTTGGAGACACTTGAATTATGTGTTTTGCAATGTTATTTACTGGTATGTAATGAAAGAAGTAAGTGTTCCTTTTAGATTTTCATGCTTCATTCTCAAACATAGCATTTTCATAAATTTGAAATTTTTGCTTTTAAATTTTCATGCTTAACTCTCAGACATATTACTTCTCAGGAAAACCCTAGCATTATTTTTAAATGTATTAATGAGAATCACACATGCAAAATCTCAACCACGTAATGTCAGGTGTCAGGTGATGTTCTCCATTACACCCACAGGAGTTTGCAAATTTTGTCCAAAGTTCCTTTTCAGTTCTCTGAGCAAAGGAGAGTTAAGGTCATGTACTAATATTTCCTCCCCCCATGTCTATAACATGTAGAGAGAACTAAAGGGAAAGCTTATACGTATTTTTTAAGCCAAAGAAGTAAGGAAACCATTAGTCACTGTTTGGGAAATATCAGACTAAACAGGTTATGATTGACTTATTCGTACTAAAAGAGAAAACATGAAGGAAAGCAATTTGCTTTACAGAACATTGTAAAGTCTCAGGAGTTGACAGGGCACACCGGCTCTGAGGGAGGAATGGAAAAAACATCAAAATGTTTAAAGAGTATGACGGAGGAGCAGCTGTACCCGAGTGTCCTCTCTGCTGCTCAGTGAGCCGCCATTTCCTCTCACTTGTCGCCGATTTACTGAAGAGAGCGTCTAGAGGGGATGGCAGCGGCCTCAGTGAGTGTGTGAAATCTTCATCACTGAGAAACGTCTGCAGCCAGGGCCACTCAGCCTTCTGTTCCCAATTAATTTTCCAAAAACATGTGCCCAGACTTATGCCAAGAGGCAGAAGATCTGAACAGTATCTCTGCTGAAAAGCTAACTTGCTCAAGAAGGAAAAGATGTCTAGATAGAGAATGAAGAGGCGCTCTATGGACAAACATTCTCCGCCACCTCTTCTCCACGAGTTTGCTTCAGAGCGCTCATTTGCACAGACAGTCAAGGATCGCATTTTTAGCTTTCGTTCTGTCAGCTCTGTGCACCACACTCAGGCTCTCAAGTAAGCAGATTTCCACAGAGCTGCGCCTTCCAGGCAGGCATGTCAACAACGCTCTATTCCATGTCCAGGAGAGCCACTAACCCAGAAAAAAATAAAATGCAAAGTGAATGATGATCCAAATATGTAGATGAGTAAGTGAAATAAACATATATATGTATATATGCAAGCAAAATAAACATATATATATATATATGAAAATACCTTCAGTATCTTTAGTAAGAAGTATTCATGGAAATTACCCAGAATCAAAAATGACGAGAGTAATCCTGAAATTACAAGCTCAAGAAATAGAAGTCTAGCAAACAATCACAAAGTTTAGCTTTGGGTAAAAAAGTAAACAAAAGCTTAAAAAGCTCAATAAAAGCAGGGAGACAAACACATTGTGAACATCATGAAATCTCTCAGGAAGTAGATGTCAAAAATAAAACGGGGAAGAAAATCTCAAACATTTCAACAGGGCACTGATCCCCCGATGTAAGTGATCCAAAGAGATGAAGAAAAAAAATAGGGAATCATTTGATTAAAATAATTCGAGAAAGGTTTTCAACATCTGAACGTCTGGGGCTTAGCCATGGAAGAAGGTGGGGTGCGGGCCGCACAAGGGAGATATCCTCCAGAGGGCACCAGCTCTGTGGGGGTTGTCAGAGCGAGGTGACAGAGCCTCCTTGGCGAAGCAGGCTGGCGGCCGTGCCACGCTTGGGGGGCATTATGACAGATGTTTGGAAGTGAGGCCCAGTCCCCATCAGGACCCCTGGAGCGCCCTGAGCAGTGGTCCAGGGCGGTCAGAGCACCCCCTCTGCTGCTGCTCTTCCCTTCGCCCTTGCCTCTGCCTCAGTCTCCCCAGGTGACGGCCGAGTCCCCAGCTGTGAACCACCCATTGGTAGATGTGATGAAGCATTTGATACCCAGTATTGGGAAAGCCACCGCATCGGTCCCGGGGAGCGCCTGTAGCCAGTGCTTCTGGGATTGTCAGCCCAGCAGTGCTGCCAGCTGGTGAGCTCCAGACCAAGACTGGCCACCCAGAACTGGGAGGAGACACTCCCCCTCATCCTGCGGGAGGGAGGGAGGGAGAGCGGAGGGGAGGTCCCTACTACAGACCAGAGCCTGCCTCTCCGAAGGTCGGTGCCAGCCGTGGTCAGATGAGCCGAAAGCCATGACCGAGTGAAGTATTTAGGAGGAGCCCACACCTTCTGATGAAATCTGAGCGAAAGGAAATTCAGAAATGGCGGGGAAGGGTCAGGGCAGGTGGATGTTGGAAGGTAGCAAGCCGGGGCTTCAAGGAAGAGCCCGGCAGGCTGAGCGCGCAGTCCTCTGCTGTGTGGCTCGAGATCGCCCATCTCACCACCGAACCCAGTGCCACAGGGCACAGGGAGACGGGTCACATGACCCCCAGTTTAAGCCCAGGACTGTTTATTTTCATTTACTTTTGGTGCTTCCAGCTGGGTCCTCTACCAGTGGAGCCAGGCCTGCACACAGATGCCTTCTCCGGGTGCTCCTGAAGCCAGCCTGCCATGAGCCTCCCGCATTCCACTTTAATGGCCTTGGAAACGCCCCGCATGGCCACCGGATGCCACCTTTTCCTTTTCCCCAACCTGGAGTGAAAGTGCCCCTAGCCCAGGCCCAGGCCCGTGGCTGGGCAGGGGCTGATGCACTTGTGTCTGGCCTGGGCTGGCCTTCCACTTCCATCCCCTAGGGCCCACCTGCCAAGCCGGCTTGCCAGGCTTGCCTGGGGCTGGTCGTGAGCACCTGTCCACCTGTCTGTACACCACACGGCCCCTTCCTTGTGATCCCAGGCTCACCTCCTCTAAACTGCGCTCGGCCTTGCCAGGCCCAGGTGTGCCTCAGGCCTCCCGTAGGAGCTGCGGGCCACGCACCGCCCAGGCCCAGGCCCTGTGGTCTGGTTCCCAGACTTGAGGAGGGACCCCACGGTGTGAGAACTGTCCCAGCCTTGCCAGCCGGCCTCCCCGAGAGATGGACAGTGCACAGTGCCGCCACCTCCCGCCAGCCAGTGCCGCCGCCCGGAGCTCGCAGTGTGTGTGTGTTATTTGGTTTGTTTTGCTGTGGGTCACACTGAGGTCCTTATGTATGACAGCATGCGGCGTGCCGTGAGCTACATGACCACACGTTCAGGCAGCTCATGACCTAAGTCCTTCCTTGCTTCCACGCATCCTCTCTTGGACTAATTAGCTGGCCAGGCAGCGAGCAGCTGGGTACAGGCTAGGCCACAGTCTGTGATCTACCACGTGAGCCATAGCCCCACATCTGGACTTTCTTCTTCTGGTAGTTAAGTGGAGATAAGAATTTCTAAACTAAAGTAATCAAAGAAAGAGCAAAGATCTTGACAGGAGGTAGAGAGCTGTTGGGAAATGAATGTGTGAACAGGAGAGATTGCAATGGTAGAAGATGGCTGGTTGGCATCTTCCTCGGCACATGGACCAAGACATCCAGGCCCTGCATCTAGGAGACATCCACGTGCCCCTGCCCACGCCTCCTGGTAAGGATGCTTCTACACTGTCAGAGGACAGGTTTGGAAATGAACTTGGAACCTTTCATGTTTCTTCTAGGAAGAGTTAAATCAAAAAAATATTGTTGAGCCATTGATAAACCATAATTTGTTTATATGTACAGTTTTAAATGTGTATACTTGTTTGCTATTCTGAGCTCTCCTTTCTTTCCTAGTGCTATTAGAGAAATCTGTAGGTAATGCTTTAGTAGAAAATTCTGTACATTACTAATAAGAAACATTAAAAGATCAAAAAGAGAAAAAAAAAGAATTTCATAAACTTTCCAGCCTGGGCTGGCTTCAAACTGTGAGCCTCAGATCTTAGCCTCCTGAGTAGCTAGGTGCTGCTGGCTTCTACTT